TCTTGAAAGAGGCTTTTTTTTGGAAGTAACAAGAGTATCTAATAGAAAGGCCTCTTTTTTTTTTTTTTTTTTTTTTTTTTTTTTTTTCTTTAATTTATTTACATTTCATTTCTTTTTTTAGTGTCATTCGCCAACACGAAACGAGGAGCCTCAAAGAGGAGGTAAAAATTATCTCCTTCCTACTCGGAGCTGCGGCTCCCTGGGGTCGGAGCCCTGTTCTGACAAAGGGGGGGGTGTTTCTGTCTCAACCTTGTCCCCCCCTCAAGCCCATCCCTGCCTCCACCTTGTCCCCCTCTCCCCCCTCGGCCGCCCGCCGGACCCCTCTCACCCGCACCCCGGGGTCTCTCCCCGTCCATCAGCCTCTCCAAAAAACCAAAAAAACCACCGCAAACTCGCGCCACGGACCCGCTGCCACCTCGGAACCGGGACCCCACGTCTCCCACCGCCAGAAAAACCTCCTGCCCCCCCGACCCCCCCAGGAAAAGCTGAATCCCACGGGTTTGGGGCTGTGCAAGTGAATAAATAAACCCTCTTTTTTTTTGCCTCGCCAACGCGCAGCAGCTCCTGGGCATCCTCCAGGGCGGGCGGATAGATAACAGGAGGTTATTATTATCATTATTATTATTATTTTTTAACCCTCACGGATGGGACCGACGCGGGCTCCGGCTGATCTCTGACAGCACGGGGTTTGGTTTGGTTTTGGTTTTGTATTTTTTTTTTTTCCCTTTAACACATTCTCGTGCCTTTCGTTTCAGACATGGCTTAATCCCACGAATTCGCTCCATCGTTTTAAAATATTTAAAAAAAAAAAAAAAAAAGAAACAAACCAAAAGTTGTATTTCAAAACCTACTTTGTAGTTATCTGAAAAAAAAAAACAAACAACCAACAACAAAGAAGTTCCAAGGGCTGGGTTATGGGGTGAGAAGCCAGCACTGCAGCAGCGGGTGACGTCCCTACGCTCCTACGGGCAGGAAAAGGAGGAAAAGAGAGAAGGAAACTTAGCTTTGGGGGGGGGCAGGGGAATGGGGGGGGGTCTCTCGGAGCACGATAAATCATCGACACAGCGTCACGAAGAATAAAAGGTTAAAGTCAACAGTTAAAACAGCCTAAAGTGGGTGTATCATATATATCAGCGTCAGTCGGGAGCAGCGGAAACTGAAGCGGCGAGGAGGAGGAGGAGGAGGCTGAGACACGGCGGTGGGGGGGGCTGCACGCGGGGATAGAAAGAAAGGATGGGGAACGGGGGGTTTTCCCGAC